GGGTACGCAGAGGGATTGGGAGGGGGAGAGAGTGCGAGAGGTTCGGGCCATACTGGAGAAAGAAAGTAGATTTGAGAAACATGTGGAAGTCGACCCCATATCTGAGAGGGAGAGTGTAAGTGATAAAAGAAGGGGCCAATGATGGAGCCTTGGAGTACCCGACAGGTGAGGAGAACCTGTTTCCCCAGAGAGATTCTTGGCAGTTAGTCAAGTAGGACTGGAACCATGCGAGTGCGATCCCACTACGGTGGATGAGGGAGGAGAGGCGGTGGAGTAAGATGATGAGATCGACTGTGTTGAATGCGGTGGAGAGGTCAAGGAAGCAGATAAAGAAAGCCTTGTTCACAGAGAGAGGACGTCATAATAATAATAATAATCCGTGCATTTGCTGTCGCGCTTTTCCCATCTTCTCGACGTCTCAAAGCGCTTCACAGAATGGTCTGTAAAGTGAATTGACCATATATTTGTGGGCGAAATGCGGCAGCCAATTGTGCACAGCAATGTCCCACAAACAGTTGTGGATTGAAATGACCAATTTATTATTTTTTTTCTTGAGGGAGTATTATCGGGCGTAAGGAAAGGTTATGTGGGAATGTAAAAGGACTAAAACACGTAAAGTACAGAGTGTCTCGACAATGATAAGACTGGAGTTGTTTTTGAGCAACAGTGTAGATAATTAGAGCAGAACCAGTTTCCTTGTCCTGTAACTGTCTGCAAATGTATAATTAAACTTGTGATGACTGAATGTTGCTTATCAATCAACAACAAGAATTGTTTTGACATGAGGTGATTGCAAATAATCATGTATATAAACTAATGGGACTGCCCCATTGGTAGAGGGAGAGTATCGACTCTTCTGAGAGACGTGCTATTGTATTGCCTCTCGCTTTCCCTCTCCTCGCTGCAAGTTATGAATAAACTATATTTCTGAGTTAACTCTGTTTGTGAGTGTTAGTTTAATCCCTGCTATAGCGACTACATCCTGGGTTCGACAATTTGGAGGTTCCACCGAGATGGTAAGCCTATGAGCCTATGAGGAACCTCTAAAATCTCACGGCTCTCACCTCCTCCACCTACCTGACCTCCTCCTAAAACTCTCTGAACATGTGGGCAACCTCGGCGTCAGGATCGACCCCCAATTATCCTTCCTCCACCACATCCGGTCCCTCACCTGCACCGCTTTCTTCCACCTCCAACGCATCGCCCCTCTCCGCCAATACCTCTCTCTGAAAGCCGCTGAAACCCTAGTCCATGCCTTTGTCACCTCTTGGCCGGACTATTCTAATGCTCTCCTCGTTGGTCTCCCATCCACTACCATCCATAAAATCCAGATCATTCAGAACTCTGCCGCCCGCATTCTCACCCGTACCAAACTCTGCTCCCTGATCACCGCAGGCCTTGCCAGACTGCACTGGCTGCCTATCCCACAGAGGGTCGACTTCAAGATCCTCACCCTTGTATTCAAATCCCTCCACTCCTCTGCACCCTCCGACCTCTCTGACCTCCTCTCTCCTCCAAACAGTAACTGCTGTCTCCGGGTCTGGCCTCCTCATCGTCCCACAAGTCCTCCGATCCACCCTCGGCGGCTGCGCCTTCAGCCACTATGTCCCGAGGCTCTCTTCCTCACTCCCTTCCCCTCGCCACCTCACTTCCCATCTTCAGATCTCTGCTGAAGACCTTTCTTTTCGACCGGGCCTTTGGTCACCTTCCTCCCCGTCCCCCGGCTCAGCCCCGGGATCCGTTACAGTGAAGCGCTCTGAGACCTGTCCGGCGTGAAGGGCGCTATCTAAATCTAAGTTGTTGTTGTTGTAAATCGGGTGCATGAACAGAGAGACCTGGGGTGCAAACCTTTGAAGATGGCAGACAGGTAAAGCTGTTAAAAAAGCATACAGTATACATGATTTATAAATAGGGGCAGAGAATACAAAATTCAGGACGTTATGATAAACCTTTATAAAATAGTGGTTAGGCCTCAGCTACAGTATTGTGTTCAGCTCTGGGCACCACACTTTACGAAGGATTACTTGGCCTTGGAGAGGGTAGAAAGGAGGTTTATCAAGATGTAGCCATGAATGAGGGAATTCAGAGGCTAGAGATGCTCGGATTATTCTCCTTGGAGCAGAGAAGATTAAGGGAAGATTTAATCGAGGTTTTGAAAGAGGATTCGATGGGGTGAACAGGGAGAAACTGTTTCCACTGGTGGGTGGGTCAGTAACCCGAGGACACAGATTTATAATAGTTGCCAAAAGAACCAGAAGGGAGTTGAGAAGAAATTATTTTCATTATTCAATATTTGGGGACGACAAATGTGCAAATGTGAGTGGGATTAATTTGGACAGCTCTTTCAAAGAGCCGGCACGGACACCATAGGCCGAATGGCCTCCTTCTGTGCTATATAATTCTATGATTCTATGACATTATTTCTTCCTGTTTATGAGTGTCCCCTAATCTCCATCTCCGTGCACATCCTCCCAATGTGAAAGGTGCTTTACAGGCTGACCTCGGTATAACAAACACTCTGGGGACTTGGGGAAAGGAGCATTATATTTCGGTGTTGCTATAAACATTTAATACTGAAATGGCGGAATGGTGCTTGGATCTCCCTCCAGCCCAACTCCATGTTTGTATTCATATGTTCATTGGCTGCGGAGCTCCCCGTGATTGGCTGTTGAGCACCAACGCCATATTGACTTGACTACAGATAGTTATATCGGGCTGAGCTGATACAGTGATCGCTGTATTAGGGTGAGAATCAATAGGGAAAAACGGGTCTCAGTGTTGAATGCGCTTTAACCTGGAGGGATCGTAATAAGAAGGTGTCGTTATACAGAGGTGAGGCATCAGCTTGGCCTGTCTCAATTGTATGCTATAAAATATCCAGCCTTACATATTTTCCTGGCAAATATTAATCAATATAATATTGCATTCAATAAAGCATCTTTCACAGCTTCAAAGCGTCTCTTCGTGCTTCACGGGAATTTTACTGTGAAGTATATTAATGTTACTGTATGTTGTTGGCTGATATGACGGTCAATTTGGGTACAACAATGTCCACCAAACAGCCGTGAAGTGAATCAGCAATTGTTATCTGGAGGATTGCGGTCAGGACAGTACAGTACAGTACAGGCTGCCTACCTGCCGCGTCTCCAGACACCCACACATCACAGGGAGAAACGTGGCTTTTCTCCTGGTTTTCTAGCAACGTGCAAAGCTGTCCTTACCCCAGTGCTGAGAGTCGGCTCAATGTCTTATTGTGTTTGATACCAACTACAAGTGACACAGACAGCAACAACAGCAGAACAACAAGAATAACCCAGTGATACCTTCCACCTGAAACAGATTGGAAATGTAGTTAAATAACAACAATAAAACAATAATTCTTGGATTTGATACAGCGACTTTCAGACAGAGGACGTCTCAAAGCTGGTAAAGCCCAAGGTATGTAAAGTCAAAACTCTCTTCTCTTTTGCAACAGTGCCACCGGATGTTTCAAGTCCTCCTGAACAGGCACAGATGGAACCTTAATTTCACCTTCAAACAACATGACACCCCCTCCAGCACTACATTGCAATGTCATCGGAGACAGGAGTTCCAAACTCTGATTCACAGCCACTGACCCAGAGGCAAGAGTGTGACTGTTGGAGTCAGGATGAAGCACAATTATCCTCCAATTAGCCTCCATCCCTCCTGCCCCCTCACCAACCTTTTAGCTAAAATCAAGTGTACATTCTCCCTCGTGTATTGGATTTCCTGTTAAATGCCCTGATGTCAGGTTGTTCTCTCTCTCTCTCTCTCTCACCTGCTGAGCTGCTGTCAGGGCACAGATCTGCAGTGACTGGTTTGCTGGCTGTCTGGCTGACCGGGTTGTGAGCCACACACGTGTAGCTGTCTCGCTCCCGCCCCGTGACGTTGCTCAGATGTAATGTGGTCCCATTGTAGACGACTGTGTTACCGGCAAAGCCCGAGACTTTCTCCCAGTGAAGCAGTGGGTTTGTACCGTTGGGAGCAGAGCAGGTCAGAGTGGCAGCTGGCACAGAGCAGTTAGTGGTTACCTTCACCACGGGCTGGGCCACGGGCTCTGAAACACACAATGTCACATCAATGTCAATATCACACAGTAAATGTCACTCTTTACACAACATTGTTTGCTCAGTCGGGTGTTCGGCTCATGTGGAAACCCATCACTGTACTTGTGAGGGTCCAAACCAGATTGGGAGCATCTCTTTAAAGAGACAGTGATATAAAATATTAATGCTACATTTAATGCGGAGCCCAATAACAGTGGATTCCTGTAGCTCAGCGGTTAGAACCCTCTGAGAAGGCAAGTGAGAGACCTGGGTTTGATTCCCGGCAGGCGAAATGTTGGGCAAGTTTCCGTACTGCACACACCTTTGTTGACTTAGCAGTAAGTAGGAACCCGGTTGTTTGTTGATTGTTGGATTGCTTTATCAGGAGTTAAACTTTTTTTTTAAATTGGGCACTCAATCAATGACTGTTTGTGGGATACTGCTGTGTGCAATTGGCTGCCACATTTTGGGCACAAGATATACAATCAATTCACTTTACTGTATATTCTGTGAAGCTCTTTGAGGTGTCTGAAAGACGTGATATGGTGCTACATCAAAAAGGATGACCATTATTATTATAATAATAATCCCTGCATTTTATATATTGCCTTAAAACACTCTGAGATGCTGCATTGCGAGCAGAGTGCTACATAAGTGTAAGTTGTTCTTGTATCATATGGAGATGTTTCAAAGCACATATTCATCTACTAACGTCTTATCGTGAAATTCTGTTAAGTACTTTGAGATGTTTCGACGATGCTGCGCAAAATTACTAATGGGTTCCACCCACGGAATACACAGTTTACTCACAGAAACTGCACACAGTCATGAAGTGAGTGAGGATTTTTATCCAGAGGATTGTTGACCAGGACACCGGGAGGGAAACTCCCTTTTCTTTTCAAATAGGCTCTCAGCAACTCCAACAACGTAACGCTGTATTGGAGTTCAGTGCCAATGTGGGGTCTTGAACCAACAACCTCCTGACTCAGAAACGAGAGGAAGCCTAACCGAGTCAGGCCAGCACTCACCAAAGACTTTCAGATGAAATGTGAGCTGGTCTCTCTGCCGCAGCACCGCTCCCAGGTAGTTTGTTTGGATGCGATATTCTCCACTGTCTTCCATGTGCACATTTTTAAGTAACAAAGAGCCATTGACTGTGAGCTGAACCCGGTCTCTATAGAGAGGATGGACAATATGTGCATTTCCTATAGAGAAGGGCTGATCAGAATTCCAGCCGAGGATTTTAATTGAGTGTGGGCTTTCCCGGCGAGCTGTCACTTCGTATTTCATGTTGTTGTCGTGAATTACGGGGAACTGGACATCTTGCCCCACGGAGAGATTGGTGACAGTGTCCGGGATGACCCACACAGCCGGGCTGCCCAGTCTGACACAGAGCAGGACTGAAAGAGGAGAAACACAGCAAAACATTACAAAGTGCAACACAACTAAGAGGTCCTGAGGTGGGGTTTGTTGGCGAGTCTACAGTGAGTGGACAGAAACTTACAGTTGCCAGCAACGGATCTAAAAGGGGGTCTTTTCACAGAGGATGGTGAAGAGTGTGGAATCCACTAAAACCTATGATTGAAGGTAATAGCATCAACCTGTTTAATTCTAACCGTCAGCCTCCATCCCAATCTCACACCAAGTGCAGCAAACCCCTTATTCACACCTTTGTTAACTCTAACATGATTTCTCAAGCTCTCATCACTGCTCTCCCCAGTTCCACCATCCACAAGTCACACAAATCTCTGCTTCCCATGTTCTCATCCACACTAAACTTCACCAATGAGACATTAAACCGAACTCCCCAACTGCCTGTTCAAGTGGACGTTAATGATAGGGTGACCAGACATCCTCATGGACAGTCCCTGGATGAGGTGTTGTGCCTCTGGCTAAAATGTGTCCCTGTCGAGTTCAACAACAAACAGAGCAAGAACAGCAACATCCTAAACCAGATACACTCCTCAGAGAAACACAGCCATTAATCCAACGAGCTTCTCCAGTAACCGCCAGCATCAGCAATTGTAGGAAGTTCAATTTTTGTTGTATATTGTTCCCAGATTTGGTTTGCAAAACATGGTCACTTTATTCTATCAGGACATCAGTGGTCCTGGAGTTGAGTGTGGAGGTAGAGAGATAGAGTTGGGTGTAATCCACATAAATGTGGAAGTTGACCGCATGTCTGTGGATGATGTCACCAAGAGGAAACATGTAGATATTGGAGAGGAGGGGACCAAGGACAGAGCCCTGAGGAACCCCACATGAGACTGTGTGAGGACTAGAGGAGAAACTGTTTGTGAAGGTGAAGTGGAGACAGTGTGAGAGGTAGGATCTGAACTATTCACGGACAGAACCATGAAGGTGTGGTGAGCGGAGAGGAGGTGGAAGAGGATAGAGCAGCCAACTGTTTCAAAGACAGCAGAGAGGGCAAGGAGGCAGAGGGAGCCCTGGATGCAGATGGACAAAATGTCATTTTTCACTTTCAGCAAAGCTGTTTCTGTGCTGTGGGCAACATAGAAACCTGATTGGAGGGGTTTGTGAAGGGGGTGGTGGGAGAAGACAGAGCAAAACTGGGTTGCAACAGCTCGGTCCAGGACGTTGGAACAGAAAAGAAAGTTACAGATGGAATGGTAATTTGAGGTCAGGGAGGATTTTTTTAAGGATAGGAGTGATGACGGCTGTTTTGAAATGGTTGAGAGTGGTGCCATTGGACAGCGCAAGGTTTATAATGTCAGTGAGTAGGGGAGTGGGGGAGGTTCAAGAAGGTGTAGCTTGGAGGTAAGGAGAGGTGGAGGAATGGTGGTCAGTTTCATATAGGTTTATCGTGGTGCTGAAACAAGAGGTTTGAACATTAGATAAAGGGATGGGCAGGGGCTGGAGTGTGAGGGGATGGTGGGGAGGGGATAATGATCTGAAGGGTAGAGGCAACTGAGTGAATCCCTTCGATTTTGGTATGAGGAAGTCCAGCATGTGCTTGCAGTTGCTGTTAGCGGAAAGGATGGGCGTGGTGTGAGAGGGTGGGCAGAGGAGCTGGTTGGTGATAGAGAAGAGGAGTCCAGGGTTGTCCTTGACCTCCAAGATTGTCTTGCAATAGAAGGATGATTTAGTGAAGGAGAGGGTGGAGTGGTCAGTTCTGATGAGGTACAGCCAGATCCGGGGATGGACTGTTAAGTTAGATTTGAGCCAGGTACATTTAGTGGCACCCACCTATGCCTTAAGGGAGTGGAGGTAGCTGATGTAGTGTTGTTGTTGTTGTTGTGCACGAGAGTGACTTCCATGTGTAGCAGGCGGCTTGAGAGGTGTCGGGAGTGATGGAGAGGATGTTTGTGGAGGAGAGTGACCGAGGAGGATAGGTCATTGCGAGAGGAAGCCCAGAGGGGGAGGAGTTCAGATGACTCCAAGGCAGCGGAGGGGTGGGAGGGGTGGGGAGAGATTTTTTTAACCAGGGGTGGCAGGAGATGGACGTGGGTTGAGTGGCGGTCGGGAGAGTGATTGAGGAGTTAAGGGAGATGAAGTAATGGTCCAAGAGGACTTTGTGGGTGATGGTGAGGTCCGAGACGCTGAGGCCCTGGGTAATAACCAGGTCAAGTGGGTGGCTATGGAAATGGGTCGCAGAGTGGATGTGGAGGGAGATGTTGGGAGTGGAGAGGAGAGAGCAGATGGCGGATATAGAGAAAGAGGGGGTGAAATGCAGGTTGAAGTCACCTAGGATGAGGAGGCGTTTGGAGTAGAAGCAGAGGATGGAGATGTATGATAGGAAGGTTGGGGAGGGTTTTGGAGGATGACAGATGAGGAGGATTTGTGGGAATGGTTAGCTTCAATATAAACAATTCTTACTCTGTAAAAAGGAGATCTAAAACTGCGGCACCAGAAAAAAAATCTTCTACACCCGAGTGATTATTATTGTTTATTATTATGTAAGCGACAGCGTTCTCCACATTAAAAAATGTTGAAATTGTGCAGCAGAAGAACTTCCAAGAAGTCCTTTTGCATCATTTTATAATAATAATCCTTGCATTTGATATAGCGTCTTAACACGTTGCCGAGATGTCTCAAAGCGCTTCACAGAATACAGTTCAAGGTAAATTGACTGTATATTTTATGGGTGAAAGGCTGTAGCCAATTGCGCACAGCAGTCTCCTAAAATCGGTCACAGATTGAGTGATCAAAATATTTTTTTAAATCATGATATAATTATTTATGTTCACCTACAAATATAGTCACTACACTTTACGTAAATCCTGTGAACCGCTTTGAGACGTCCTCCCAACGTGAAAGGTGCTGTAAGGTTTTATATATTATATATATACACACACACATATATATACATACACAAGGTAACCAAAAAGTCATGATATCTACCCTATTATCTAAAAAACAATCATAATTTCTTTAAGACTTATTAGATATAATGGTATTACAACTTTTTGGTCACCCTGTGTATGTGTGTATATATAGAGAGACACAGAGAGAGAGAGACAGAGAGAGAGAGAGAGAGAATTGAAATGGTACAATCCCATAACTCCTGGGGGACACCGCTGTTTGGACTATACCCTTCAAGTCTGAAAAACACTTATTTAATCCTCACTGTTTTCTATGCTTTCGTCAAACTTTCCACAGATGCTGCCACATACACTTTAATACTGTGTGCTTTATTTGTTCAACAAGCCTCCCCATTGGGCATCAAATATCCTTTTAAAAATCAACATCCACAACACCCACCGCAGTCTTCTTATCAACACTCTGTTATTTTCTTCAAAGAAATCCATTAAGTTTATCAGGCATAACTCGCTTTTCACAAATCTTGATTTAATTAAGCCATGCTTCACTAAATTATTTTCAAATTTATCGATCCAGTATTATAATAATGTTCCTTACATTTGATACAGCACTGTATCATATCGAAATGTTCCAGAGCACCTCACAGTAAAGTGTAGTGACTGGATATTTGTAGGCAAAAGGCTGTGCGTTGTAAATTCCTCCCTGAATTGCCTCAGAGGCTGATCACAATAACCAAAACACTGGAATCACAAACAGTCAGGGTATTAACGGGCCAATCTAGTGCCGCTGGAAGTGCTGCCAATCAGGTGTACATTACAGGCAGAAGTGGACGGACTCAATAATAATAATTAGATAGATATTTGGGGAGGATAAATTTCCAGGGCTGTGTGGGGAGAGCGGGGGAGTGGGATTAGTTTGGACAGCTCGATGGCCGAAGTGCCTCCTTCTGTGCTGTATAATTCTATGACTACTCCGTGCTCCTTCTCTGGGTGTGATATCCAGTGGGGGCCTGGTGAAGCTCAGCAAAACCATTCTGGGTTTGGAAGCTGCGGGTTTGCTTACATGGTTTTGCTCTGAATATTTGGGTTGTTAGGCCCTGTTCTGCTCTCACCAGCCTCTGGAAAGAGATTCCTAAGAAAAAGAGAATAATGCATTAACGTATAATATTCACAAATAATAATAATAATCCTTGCATTTGATATAGTGCCTTATCAGTTTATCAAAACGTCTCAAAGCACTTCACAGGATGTCTCACAACCAGCCATGAAGTGAATGACTGATTTTGTCTGAATGATTGTTTCTGGGTCACAGGGAAAAACTATTCCTCTACGAGGAGCGATTCAGAAAGAAGTTCCTCAATACATCAGTCATATATATATATAGAGTTGTCATTTCACACTTGTACTCTCTCCCCTTTCAGGGCAATACCGAAAACCCTTTACACAAAAATGCACTATTGCTAACAATTGCAGACTGTGCACATCCCAACTCTCGCTTTTTTATCAGTAAATCATCACTTTGAAGGCCATCACCACCTGGAACGTATGACTTGCAAGGCTCTACATGATCTGTTTAAACTACATAGAACCAGTAATTTTCAGCCAGAGACCATTCAGTCAATCACAATATCTGCACCCTGTGTTACTAAGGCACTCCTAGTCTTAATCCCACTTCACAGCTCTGTTGTGTTTGCTGCTCTGTTCCCTTTTGATCCCATGTCCACAGCTGCTGAAATCTCTCAATCTCTCATTCTTCCTGTATTGGGGAGTCCACTGAATGTAATATTCCAACCGCACATTAAGCAATGTCCTATACATCCTCAACTAAAATTCACTATTATATTCAACAGCTTGGTTTAGAAATTCTCAGAACTTCATTTGCTTTCAAAATCTTACACCGGTAAAAATAATCTTTCGAGCTGAAGCAGTACAGAAGGAGAAGCTTCTAAATACAACAGTCATTTAAAGAGTTGACATTTCATGCTTCTGAAATTTCACGCATTCTCTCCCCACACAGGTGGGAATACATACATGCTCACACATGCACACAAATATAATTCTCATCTCACAAACACACACACACACATACACACACACACACAAACACAGAGGTAAGGTGGCATATACACACACACAGATAGGATGTTCTCAAACACACACACACAAACCCACAGAGGCAAGGTGTCATATATACACACACACACACACACAGACAGATAGGATGGTATTAAACACACACACGCACACAGAGGCAAGGTGTTATATACACACATACACAGATAGGATGGTCTCAAACACACACCCACAAAACACACACACACACACAGAGGTAAGGAGTCATATATACCCACACACACACAGATAGAATGTCTCTCCCACACATGTACACTTATACAACCATTTTCCTGTTATTTCAAGTGTCTCATTGCTTCATTTACCCTCAGGTGATCTGTGATAATGCAACTGCTCGTCACTCACTTAATTACATTTCTGATTTGAAAACTGTGGTTCCTGCAGCGGGATGGGTGGGTGGTGGGGGTGTGGGGGGTGTGGGGGTGTGTGAAAGCAGAAGTAGTTTGTTTGGTAAAGAAATGGTAAACGGTAGGAGGTCACCGAGGTGGGGTGAGGCCATTGAGGGCTTTGTAGGTGAGGACCAGGATCTTGAACTGGATCCTCTGAAGGATAGGGAACCAATGGAGTCAGGCGAGAGTGGGGGAGATGGGGTTACAAAGTTTGGTGCGGGAGAGGACACGGGCTGCAGAGTTCTGGATTATCTGCAGCCGGTGGAGGGAGGAGTTGGGAAGCCCAACAAGCAGGGAGTTTGCATAGTCGAGCCTGGAGGTGATGAAGGCATGAACAAGAGTTTCAATGGCCTGAGGGATGAGGTAATGGCGGAGTCGGGCGATGTTACGGAGGTGAGAGAAGGCAGAGTGGGTCATGGCTTGAATGTGGGGGAGAAAAGACAGTTGAGGGTCAAACAAGACACCCGGGTTCCTGACTGCTGGTGAGTTGTAGTGAGCAACCATGGAGGTGGATGCTGCCAGAGCCTGAGGTGCAGAGGCACTGGCGTGAGACAATCAGGAGCGCCTCAGTCTTATTCACATTCAATGTAGGAAGTTTGCCCTCATCCAGGACTTGATGTCTGACAGGCAGTCTGTCAGGACAGCAGTGGTTCTGGAGTTGAGGGTGGAGGCAGAAAAATAGAGTTGGGTGTCATCCGCATACATCTGGAAGTTGACCCCATGTCTGCGGATGATGTCACCAAGGGGGAGCGTGTAGATATTAAAGAGGAGAGGTCCAAGCCAGACATGACAGTGCGAGGGCTGGAGGAGAAACTGTGAAAGGCAACAAAGTGGAGACGGTGAGAGACATAGGAATCGAACCAGGCAAGGGCAGATCCACGAAGATTACGTAAAGAGGAGAGGCAATGTAAAGTTCAATGGAAAAATCATCCATTTCAAGGGGTAATGAAATCTGCTCCCCAGGCAGGGGATTCAAACATGACGATAGTACTGTCAGACAAATCGAAATGAAAGAAGTGTGACAAACAATGTCTGGGCCCAGATCGTGTGCGAAAATAAAATGTAACCAGTGATCCCATGGAGGCTGGAAGCCCAGGCTAAATGCAGAGGTTGTGAATGTGACAGAACATTTACTGGATCGAGAGCCCATGAGTCAGTGACACACGCTTAGCCTTCACAGATCAGCTTCACTTCAACCTCTCTTCCCTTCTTCCCTTCAGCGCTTACAGTACTAAAAGACAGAAATGTGTAATTGTAACGTTATATATTGTTGGGGTAAATGGGCAGCTACACCCTCAATATTCTGATTGACTCAAACATAACTATAATTCACAGTGAAACTAGACATGACTCAACAGCAAACTAATGGTTTGATCCTGAGTAACATCAGCTTCCTGTCATGGAAATGTTTTTTAAGATAAATGTAACTAGATATTCTATCCATCAATAATCTTTTTTTTTAAAAACGAAAGACTGAGACAAGTTGAAACTTCATAGCAATAGTAAACCTTGTATTTGACTAAGCACCTAATCTTTATAGCACCTCTTTGAGTCATCTCAAAGCTTTTCATAGAATATACTGAATCCTGTAGCTCAGTGGTTAGACCACTCGCCTCGCAATTGAGACCCCTGGGTTTGATTCCCAGCAGGGTGAAATGTTGGCCAAGTTTCCTAACTCCACACACAACCCTGTTTACCCAGCAGTAAATAGGAACTCGGTTGTTAGTCGGTTGGTGGATCGCTTTTCCAGGGGTAATAATTCCTTCAAAAGAAAATAAGAACTTGGTCAGTTCAGTCTATGACTGTCTGTGGGACCTGTTGTGTGCAATTAGCTGCCACTTTTTGCCAACAAAATATACAGTCAATTCACTTTACAGTACATTCTGTGAAGTGCTTTAAGACGCCACAAAGACATGATAAGGCGCTATATCAAATGCAAGGATTATTATTATTTGCCGATTCCTGGAGACTATTAGGCACAGGTTGGAAATGTATGTGTCAGGGTAACTGCTGGAGTTTAACCAGTGATAAAGCCTAGTTTGCCACAGTTGGCAGCTTTCCGCTGCTTGTCCAGCTGAAACCAACAACAACAACAGATTACTTTGATACAGCACCCTTCACATCAATTTCCAAGGCCCTGAACAGTCAAGAGTTTGCACCCGAGCTGGGGTTGGATCCAGGAGGGGTGGAGGCCAAGGGGGTGGGTTGGAAGAGGACTGAAGGTGCAGTCAAAGAAGGAGGTTTTGAGACAGACCTTGAAGAAGGAGACCTTGACAACATGTGACAGAGCCCTCAGCCTCTCACTACACCTGCCCACACATCACCTGAAGCTACTTAGTTAATGTACATGTCAAATTGTGCTCAATAGACAGGATTGCGAGTGCATTCACTCCATCGAAGGTCAATGTCGATTTTGTCTTTCTTTTTTCAACTCAGGTTTCCTGACCAATAATCCCCCAAATAAAATTGGTAACTCTCTCCATGGCTATTTTGGTGACACTTCTGGTCACTAACTGGATTCACGGGATCACTCAGGAAATTTCCCAATTTGCCGCATACAACAACAACAACAAGATTCCATTTATAGAGCGCCTTTCACGTTGGGAGGACGTCCCAAAGCGCTGGACAGTTGGGTCAGGACCCGAGCAGGGGGGAAATGGTTAGGGTGAGGGGAGGGAAGGGAAGGGAGGGAGCGAGGAGGGGGGAAATGGTCAGGGTGAGGGGAGGGAAGGGAGGGAGCGAGGAGGGGGTAGAGAGTTGAGAGGGGAGCTGAAGGCACGATCAAAGAGAAAGGTCTTGAAATCGGCCTTGAAGGAGGAAAGCGAGGAAGCACTGGGGGATAGAGTTCCAGAGCCTTACCCAGTCTGCCCCAGACCAAGGACCCATCAGCGTCTATTCAGAGGAGAGAGGATTGAGTTCAAAATCCTCATCCTCAACTTCAAGGACCCTCCATGGCTACCAAATTCCTACCTCTGTGACTCGCTGACCCCATATCATCCTGTCCTTTCCCTCCGGCCTGCTCCACATTCCCCGCCCAGCCTGACCGACCATTTGTAATCGGGCCTTCAACCTTTCTGCCCTCACCTTTTTGAACTCCGTCCCATATTCCTTTGCCTTGGCCCATCCATTGCCTCCTTCAAGGTATGTTTCAAGAACCTCCTCTTCGACCGAGCCTTCAGCCACCCTCCCTACCTTCCACCCTCCCCGATCCCGACCCACAGCTTGGGTCCAAATCCCTGACTGTCCAGTGCCTTGGGCCATCCTCCTGATGTGAAAGGCACTTTACAAATGTAATTTTGATTTGTATTGTTTTCAGGTGGGTTGTGAAGGTCTCCTTCTTCAAGGTCTGTCTCAAAATCTTCCTATTTATCATGTCTCACTATGTGTAATTTACTGATTGATGTTGAGACATTGGAAAGGTCTTGCAAGGGGGAGTGTCATGGGCATACTGTTTCTCAGGGATCTCCTATTTTTGATGAGCTACGTTATATAGTGCCAGAGACATCACACACTCTTCTAGAAATATACATCTATATTAATACAGAAAACAATTCTGACTGTGTGTCTGTCCGCTAATAATACAACAACCGATTGACGTAGAAATATGCTTTATACTTCATGGGAAAGGTCTAGGGTGTGTCATGGGAAAATTGCTTAGAAGGATCTCAAATTGTTATATAAAGTAAAATAATCTAATATAAAGTATAATAATCCTTGCATTTGATATAACGCTTTTCACATCTTCTAGAGGTCTCAAAGCCTTCACAGAATATACTGTTAAATGAATTTACTATATATTCATGCACAAAATGCACACATATAGTACAGATTATATTAATAATGTGATATGAAGTATAATAATCCAATATAAAGTATAATTATCTAATATGAAGTACAATGATTTAATATGAAGTACAATAATTAATATAAAGTATAATACTAAAATCTACATTCCATATTCGATGCTTTGGTCACTCGTGTAGCTGCAACGAGTACATCCCTACACTATATCACACATAGCACCCCTGCACTGTGTCAGCTAGTTATTAATAAGTGTAAAGCCACGTGAAAATATTCCCCACGTAGTTTGCTTTCTTAATCCCAACAGAGGCAACTCGGGCAATGTTTTCAAATTCAGAACGGTTGAGCAAGGTTTAATGTAAACAGAATCCACTTCAAGGGTTAATGTAATCTCTTCCCAGGCGGGGAATTCACAACATGGAGATCCTTGGGTCAGACTATCCAAAGGGGAAGTGAAAAGTCAAGTCAGACCGCGATGGTGAGCAATGAAGTAAAAATAAACAGCGGCTGGAAACCGAGGCTAAATGCAGAGGTTGTGAATGTTGAAGAATAATTGGTGAGTGAGGTTTGGCCTGAATTAGCCTGCCTTCCCCCTGCCACCACTTCTAAGAATGGGTTAAATAAACGAGGAGTCCTGTAACTCTCCTCACAAGCGAGAAGACGTGGTTTCGATTCCTGGGCAGGGAGAAATGTTTGGAAAGTTTCCTCACTCCACACACACACCTCTGTTTACCGAACAGAAAGTAGCAACCCAGTTGTCAGGAGTTTTAAAATAGTTTTATCAAACAAATGTACCATGTTACAAGTTAATAAATTTCTTACTGCTACAAGGATAGACTGAATAAGTTAGGCCTTGTTTTGCTTGAGAGGAGACATTTAATGGGGCCCTAATACCTATGTTTAAAATTCTAAAAGGTGACCATAAATAGGCTGTTCTCACTGGTTGGGGATTACATAACCAGGGGACACAAATATATATACATTTGTCAGCCAAGGTCTGACACATGCGGACACCCAACACAGTGCTTAAGCTGAGATTTGCATCCATCCCACCGACACATGGAAATCCCAGAGATAGATTGTTGGAATGGATTGTACAGTCTCTCCCTGGAGGGACACATCCCGCTTACATAATTCCAGATACTATCAGGCGCAGGTTGGCAAGAGCCAAGGCTTGGGGAACCCAGAGTGTATGTTGGGGTAACTGCTGGAGTCTTACCAGTTAAAACTACATAGCTTGCCATTGATATCACTGTCTGGCAAACTTTCCCGCTGCGTGTCCAGCTCGGACCATACTACCTGATAGGCCTTTGGCTGTAGGGTTAACAGGAGCTGAGAGGGAGGATTTCCTGCCCCTAGTGACTGGTCTGCTCTTCCGTCCTGCTGATGAACCAGGCCGGGCTGGGCTGCCATGAGCAGTGGCCTGGAATACTACAGACCCTCCTCGCTTAGGAACCGGACTAGAGACCGTCACAGAGGGCTGCTCGATTCCGACATCCCATTGCTAGGCACGTCACCTTGGAACCAGTTCAGCTCCGCGGAGACCTCGTTTATCTCCCCTGAAGGAGGACAGTCCCACAAAATATTAGGCACCAAGTTATACAGTTGGTTTGAGAGATCTGAAGTGTCTGCTTTCAAAGAAAGTTCCTTCAGGATCAAAGGTTGAAAAGATAAATCCAGTTACTGCACAACAAATCCCGAATGTGGCACTTGATGCGATGCACTGTTTGAGGCGGGAACTGTGTTAAATGAGGAAACTGTGTGAATGGAAACCACAACTTCAACCAACACAATTTGGCAAAGACGATAAAGTAGACGAGTATTTCATGCAATCCTCAGCACCACACGTAATTATTAAACAGCTAATCCTCTGTCTGCTGGCAGTAATGATTTCCTGTTATGAATGACTTGTGAATCCATGTTGAAACCGTGAAAGCCAGTCTTGCCGTCAAATGCACGTCAATTTGTCTTGTTTTAAGTTCAGCAACAAACAGAGCATGAACTATAACATTCTAATAATAAACCAGATACACTCCTCAGATTAACACAGCTATTAATCCAGCAAACTGCTCCAGTAACCGCCAGCATCAGCAATTGTGGGAAGTTCAATTTATTTACAGAATGTGGTCACCTTGCTATACAGCTGTTACACTGGTACATTGGTTTTGAGGTAAACAATATACCTTTCTGACCAGCCTGACACGGAACTTGCATCAAAGGATATATTTAGGAACTACAACAAATGCACATATCGTATTTATCCAGTGCCTTTCACGTCGGGAGGATGATCCAAGGCGATGGATAGTGAAGAGTTTGCATCTGAGCTGGAGGTGAGAGTCAAGAGAGGCAGAGGGCAAAGGGAAGGGAGGATGACAAGAGCAAACTACATGACCAAAGAGGAAGTTTTTGAGACGGACCTTGAAGGAGGCAAGTGGATTAACAATGTTATTTGGGGGATTGTTGGCCAGGACATCAGGTGAGAAAGAGAGAAAAACTCCCTTCTCTTTTTCAAATAATTTCTTCAAGTGAGCAGCAATTCTTCACACGATGAAGAGGCAAAGGAACATTAGTGCAACAAACATGATGTGTTATAACCTGATGGCACAAGAGGCCATTCAGCTCCCCCAGCCCAGCCCAGGCTGCCACAGCTTCTCATCTCCAATATCAGTTTCACAATAATGTTATACACTCTCCTCTCCATTAGATCTCACTCCAGTTCTGTTTGTGGGTTGTGTCTGAGCCACAGATACACAGTCTGGAGATGTTGGTGACACAATCCTCCTCCTGAAGGAGAGAAACAGAAACCAGATGATTAATAGTCGTCCCCACTACAGTGTTACCGACTCCGTACTTACCGAGAGGTCTCTCACATCACAGGCTCCTGTGTGTCACTGAAACATACATAGGCGGTGGGTGATAGGAGCAGCCTCCGCGCCAGCGTCAAAGATATCCTCACCCCACTCCCACTGCCCCCCACCTCAGTTTGACCATTGACCCTGTCCCTGTAAAGCACTCCAAGATGTTATCCAATATGAAGGGCATTGTATAAATATAAGTTCTTGTTTCCTTATCCACATGTCTCTGTTTACACAGTAGAACACAGTCGTTAGTCGATTGGCAGATCACTTTCTGGGGTGTGATAATCGCTCGAAAGAAAGAAATAATTTGGCCACTCAATCCACAACTGTTTTGGGACACACTGTGCGCAATTGGTTGCCTTGTTTCGCCCACAAGACACACAGACAATTCACTTTATAATATATTCAGTGAAGCGCTTTGAGACGACTGAACAAGGTGATGAGGTGCATATAAAGTGCAAGGTTTATTTCTTGTTACTGCTGTTTTTTAGGCTGACGTGGAGGATAATTTGTTTATCGCCTGTTCAACAAACACTCATGAAGTGATTCAGCAATTGTCTGGAGGATTGTTGGACAGGACAAGACAGTGGGAAGCTGACCTTATCCGAGTGCTTAGTGTCGTCTCAATACCTTTTGCATCTCATTACGTGGACAACAACAACAGCAGCAGAACAACAAGAATAACCCAGTGATGGCTTCCACCTGAAACAGATTGGAAATGTAATTAATAACAACAATAAAACAATAATCCTTGGATTTGATACAGCGACTTTCAGACAGAGAACCTCTCCAAATGCTTCACATGATTTACTGGTAAATTGCAGTGACTGTTTTGTGGGTGAACACGGCAGTCAGTTTGCGCAAACCAATGTCCCACGAGCAGCTGTGAAGTGAATGACTGGATGTATCTGGGGGATTGGCAGCCAGGACACCGAGAGAGAGAAACTCCTTCTGTTTTGCTGCAGGATCTTTAACTTCCGTCTGAACAGGCACAGACAAGACATTAATTTCACAACTCATCCAAAGGACGGCACCTCCAAACAGCACTGAATTGCAGTGTCACCTGAGACAGGAGTCCCAAACCCTGATGCGGGGGCTTCAATCCACAACCTCTGACTCAGAGGCAAGAGTGTGACTGATTGAGCCCGGATGACGCACAATTATACACCAATTAGCCTCCATCCCTCCTGCCCCCTCCCCAACCTTTTGGCAAAGATCAAGTGTAGCATCTATAATAACAATAATGATCCTTGCATTTGATATTGCACCTTATCACATCTTTGAGACGTTATTCAGGATTCTCTTGAGATGATATTAAGTCGGTAAAGCCAAATAATATTATTAAAATCAGCGGTATTGTAACATTACAATACATTTACGCAATCAGCACAATTGAGATCATATTACCTGATCCCAGCTTCTGGTTATGGGCAGTTGCAACTCAGTCAGTTGCTCTTCTCTGAACCTCTGCCCTAATTACACACTTCCACTTCCTTTTATAACAGTAGTATAACTGTTTCGAAAAATGTGGCTGTGTTGTTTCTACACAGCTGTGCTGAAAGCTGGTGCTGCTTATCCTGACCTCTGATCTGTTTTTTTTTACTGCCTCAATCTTGCAATTATAGCAAGATTTTGCTTCCCCACAAAATTAACCATATCCTGTTTCCATCTACTGCAACGTTAAAAGTACTCGACCCAAGAATGGAGACAACTCCACCCAAGAATGTAAACAACTCCACCTAAGAATGTAAAGGAAAATAGAAGTCGCTGGGAACACTCAGCAGGTCAGGCAGTATTTGTGGAGAAAGGTAAGTGAGTCAATGTTTCGGGTCATTGACCCTTCGTCAGAACCTGTGGTCCAGTCCGTTAGCTTCAGTTCTGACGAAGGGCCGTGGAGCTGAAACGTTGACTCACTTTCCTTTCTCCATAGATGCTGCCTGACCTGCGGAGTGTTCCCAGCGACTTCTGTTTTGACTTCAGATTTCCAGCCTTTGCAGTATTTTTTGTTTTGTCTCTACAAGAATGTTCCTGACTCATCAGTTGCTCACTTTCATCCTGGCATCTAGTCCCTTAAATGATTTTAATATTATTACTAATAGCTTGTTTAATAGCCCTTATACATAACTACACCATCATCACACTTGAGCAATTATTCTCTACAGTGTCTCTAAGCACTTCACAGAATATACTGTCAAGTGGGCGAAACACAGCAGCCGATTTCATATTGTGACATCCCACAAATAGTCATGGATTGAGTGACCACATTATTTATTTGTTTGAACGTTTGGTTTTTGTTTATTAATTTATTTTTGACTGATGAGAGTGTGGTGTGTATCTGCCTAACGCATGGATTGGATTTCCTGATGTCAGGTTGTGTCAGTGTAGGGTTGTTCTCTCTCTCTCTCACCTGCTGAGCTGCTGTCAGGGCACAGATCTGTAGTGACTGGTTTGCTGGCTGTCTGGCTGACCGGGTTGTGAGCCACACACGTGTAGCTGTCTCGGTCCCGCCCCCTGACGTTGCTCAGATGTAATGTGGACCCATTGTAGACGACTGTATTACCAGCAAAGCCCAAGACTTTCTCCCAGTGAAACAGTGGGTTTGTACCGTTGGGAGCAGAGCAGGTCAGAGTGGCAGCTGGCACAGAGCAGTTAGTGGTTACCTTCACCACGGGCTGGGCCACGGGCTCTGAAACACACAATGTCACATCAATGTCAATATCACACAGTAAATGTCATTCTTTACACAACTGTTTGCCGAGTCGGATGTCCGGCTCATGTGGAAACCCATCACTGTACTTGTGAGGGTCCAAACCAGATTGGGAGCATCTCTGCGAAGAGAAGGTGACATAAAAATACTATTCCTGTCAATTAATACAGCACTTAATGACAAAATAATATTCACTGTATTGGATAGAATGAGTTATCATGTTGTTCAAACAACGAGAACAACTTATCTATGTGGCGCCCCAGCATAGAGTACCAGAGGCATCTCAGAGGGCTTCACAGAATATATTGTAAACTCTCTGCTGCGTTCATCCACAAACACAGAGTCACCACAACTTATTGTGAAATCTTGTGAAGTGCTATTACTTGTAAGAAAGATAGAAGCCCATGGTATAAAAGGGAGAGTGGCAGTGTGGATCCAGAACGGACTGAGTGACAGAAAGCAGAGAGTGGTGAACGGCTGCTTTTCTGACTGGAGGGAAGTGTACAGTGGTGTCCCCCAGGAATCAGTATTAGGACCACTGCTCTTCTTAATATACATAAATGATCTGCACTTGGGTATAGCAACACCATTTCCAAGTTTGCGGATGACACAAAGTTAGGTAGGGAGGTACACAGTGAGAAGGATAGGAGCCAACTGCAGGAAGGCATAGACAGAACGGTAAACTGGGCAGACACATGGCAGAGGAGTTTCAATGTGGAGAAATGTGAGGTAATGTATTTTGGAAGAAAGAATGAGGGGAGGCCATATAGGCTGGTAATACAATCTTAAGGGGGGGGTGAAAGAACAGAGAGACCTGGGGGTTCAGGTAAATGAATCCTTCAAGGTGGCAGGACAGGGAGATAAAGCTGTAAAAAGGGCATATGGGATACTTGGCTTTATAAATAGGGGCACAGAGTACAAGAGTCAGGAGGTTATGATTAACTGATATAAACACTGGTTAGGCCTCAGTTAGAATACTGCGCCCAGTTCTCGGTCCCACACTATAGGAAGGATGTTAAGGCATTGGAAAGGGCGCAGAGGAGATTTACGAGGATGGTACCAAGAATGAGGGACCGTGATGATGAGGAAAGGCTGGAGAGGTTAGGATTATTCTCATTGGAGCAGAGAAGGTTACGAGGACCTAATAGAGGTCTTCAAAATCATGAGGGGATTTGATAGGTTAGAAAGGGAAAAACTGTTCCCACTGTTGGGTGTGTCGGTGACTCGAGGTCACAGATTCAAAATAGTCTCTAAAAGAAGCCGAGGTGAAAAGAAACTTTTTCACACAGCGAGTTGTTCGAATCTGGAACGCATTGCCTGAAAGGGCGGTCGAGGCCGATTCGATAACTACTTTTGAAAACGCGGTGGATGGCTATTTGAGGAGAACGGGTTTGCAGAGTTATGGGGAAAGGGCTGGGGAGTGGGATTGACATTACATTGCTCTATTCAAAGCACAAACTCGATGGGCCGAATGGCCTCTTTTTGTGCTGTGCAATTCTATGATTCTATAAGACGTTTGGATGATGCTGTGCGCAATCGGCTGCTCCATTTCACCCGCAAACCACTCACAAAATCTACACATATCTGTGAAGTGAGTGAGGATTTTCATCCAGTGAATTCCTGGCCAGGACACCGGGAGAGAGGAACTGCTTTTCCTTTCAAATAGGCCGTGGGATTTTTAACATCCAGAGGCACAGACAGGACCTTAGTTTAACGTCTCATCCAAACGACATCACCTCCAACAACAGCACCTCCAACAACAGCGCCTCCAACAACAGAATGTGCTGTGAAGTGAATTGACTATATATTTGTGGACGAAACGCAGCAGCCAATTGCGCACAGCAGTGTCCCACAAACAGTCATGGATTGAGTGACCAAATTATTATTTTTTTCTTGAGGGATTACTATCAGGCTTGAGGACTAAACTTGCCCAAGGTTTTGCCCTGCCAGGAATCGAACCAAGATCTCTTGCTTGCGAGATGATTGCTCTAACCACTGAGCTACAGGACTCCACAACTATTAAATGTATTGGAGTATAATTCCAACGTGGGGTCTTGAACCCACAAACTTCTGATTCAGAGACGAGAAGGAGCCTAATCCAGCCAGACCAGTACTCACCAAAGACTTTCAGATGAACTGTAAGCTCATCTCTCTGGCGCAGCACCTTTCCCAGGTAGTTTGTTTGGATGCGATATTCTCCACTGTCTGCCATGTGCACATCTTTAAGTAACAAATAACCATAGACTGTGAGCTGAACCCGGTCTCTATAGAGAGGATGGACAATCTGTGCATTTCCTTTAGAGAAGGGCTGATCAGAATTCCAGCCGAGGATTTTAATTGAGTGTGGGCTTTCCCGGCGAGCTGTCACTTCGTATTTCATGTTGTTGTCGTGAATTACAGGGAACTGGACGTCTTGACCGACGGAGAGATTGGTGACTGTGTCCGGGATGGCCCTCACAGCCGGGCTGCCCAGTCTGACACAGAGCAGGACTGAAAGAGGAGAAACACAGCAAAAATTTACAAACAACAGCAACAACTTGCACTTATATAGCGCCCTCCACACAGGGCAGCATCTCAGAGCGCTTAACAGTGGCGGAGCCTAACTCCGAGCCGGGGGGATACAAGGGCTGTAAGCACAGTTGAAGAGGAAAGTCTTCAGGCGAGACTTGAAGGAGGGGAGAGTGGGGGCAAGGCGGAGGGATTGAGGGAGAGTGTTCCAGAGTTTTGGGGTCTGCTGCCGATCTCTGATGGTGGGTGCAAGGGACGAGTGCCAGGAGGTCAGAGTGGTAGGGAGCTGCCAGGGAGTGAAGGGATTTGAATACGAGTGTGAGGAACCTGAAGTTGATCTGTTTGTTGATGGGGAGTCAGTGGAGCCTGAGCCAGAACTGGTTATTGTGGGTACGGGCTGTGGTGGAGGGAGGACAGCTGGGGACCAAACTGGACGCCGAGGTTGAACACTGGTTCGGTGCATCTGAGGGAGAGCCCCGGGAGGTTGAGGAGTGAAGACATTTAAACTGCAGAGGTGAAGCACAAGACAACTGAGAGGTGGGACCTGTTGGTGAGTCTAACGCGAGTGGACAAAAATAAAAAAAAGCAGCAACAGCTCCTCTTCAGCTCCTTAACTCAAACCAAATAGATTCTGTTTTTATTCCTCTGGCACTTCATCCCTTTCCAGGACTGAACAATAACTTTGATCAATATTGCCAACCCCATCAGCTTTATGTCCTACCCTATCCCTGCTAAATATATTTTATTCAATCATGGAATCCTGTAGCTCAGTGGTTAGAGCACTCGCCTCGCAAGAGAGAGACCTGAGTTTGATTCCCACCAGGACGAAATGTTGGGCAAGTTTTCTTATTCCATACGCCTCTGTTTACCAGGCAATAAATAGGAACCCGGGTGTTAATCGATTAGCAGATCGCTTTTCCAGAGGTAATAATCCCTCCAAAAAACAATCATAAATTAGTCATTTCAATCCATGACTGTTTGTGGAACACCGCTGTAAGCAATTGGCTGCCCGTATCACCCAGAAAATATATGGTCAATACGGTTCACAATATATTCTGTGAGGCGCTTTGAGACGTCTCGAAGATATGATAAGGCGCTATATCAAATGCAAGGATTATTATTGTTGCTATATTATTTGTAAAGGAAGTGCATGCAATTCATGGTGTGGGGAAGGGGGAGAAAGAGAGAGGGGGGGACACACAAATGCTGTATCTGATCACTGTAAATCAATGGCATATTAATCTTTGCAAGGACAGGCAGTTTAAAAAACTGTAGCCTTCAATGCAAAGTCTTGCTACTCTGTAAAAAGGAGATCTACCACTGCGGCACCAGAAAAAACCCAAACTTCCATACCCGGGTGAAAATTACCTGTAATAATTCTGAAGAGAGTCACCATGTTTGGGGATCGGGGAATCTCCAGCCGACATCCTCTTACATTTGATAACTTTGCGGTTGTCTGTGCGCAAATTGGCTGCCGCACTCGCCTACAAAACACAGAGTTAACACACTTTACAGTGTATTCTTTGAAGAGGTTGAAATTATTATTATGATTAATATTGTCACCCCATTTGGCATTTGATCAAAGACGCTCATGTTTGAAAAGTGAACAGAGGAAACATTCAATATTTCCGAGACGTTCTCATTGTAAGGAAAGAGTTCAAATAAAATGATAACGCTGTGGAAATGTACTCTGTTGGAATGAACACGTTGATGTGACTCAGAGTCTCCAACTCTATTCACAAGAAACAATTCAACGGTTAATGCTTCAACACATACAATGATACACGCAGTAAAATTCAACAAAACCGTTCAATGGTTAGAGCACTCGTTTCGCAAGCGATTCGATTCCCGGCCGGGCAAAATCTTGCGCAAGTTTCCTTACTACACACTCCTGATAATAATCCCTCAAGAAAAAAACTAATAATAAAAAAAATGTGGTCACTCAATCCATAGCTGTTTGTGAGACGCTGCTGTGTGCAATTGGCTGCAGCATTTTGTCCAGAAATATACAGTCAATTCACTTTACAGTCTATTCTGTGAAGCGCTTTGAGACATCTTGAAGACATGAAAAAGCGCTGTATCAAATGCAAAGGTTATTATCATTATTATTACCCAATTCCATTGAGAAAGTCGCTGACCACCAGCTGTTCACAACTGTTCCTCCTGCACTATTCCAAAGTGACATCTTTCTTTTATGTGTTTCTAACTCGCCTCCCCTTGTCAGAGAGACGGCTCCCACCCTTCGCTGGCTGCTGGAGACCTTGAACAAGCTCTTTTCCGGGAAAAGAGCTGATAGGGAAACAGAGAGATAAACAGTATTTTGGGGGAGGGTTCTACCATGGATTCTTAGTGTGAGATAAGCAGATGTGCACGAGGGCATTTCTCCTTCTGAGGCCACTTGTTTTCACATCTGGCTCAAGGACATGATCAATTAATCTCAGAGGAGTGTCCGCCTGCTCAAGAGAATATGAAATCAGACTTGTGCCAGGGTCAAACGACTTCACTAACACTGGTTACCGCCCTTAAGCTAATCATTAAAACACACAACATTGTTCCTACCCCGGTAACTAAGGAATCCAATTCTAAAAAGATTATGAGTTTTGGTTACATTCCGAAAAGTATATCAAAGATTGGAATAGGTATAAGCAGTTGATTGACTGTCCTTTGATCAGCAAAAATAACCTTATCTTGAAACTGGTTGAGACTCTTCGATGAACAAAGAAGTTGAGTTATTGCTGACTATTCTATACGAGCTGCGAACACAAGGAAGTTGGAGAGAGAGATGATCAAGAAGCCTGAAACACAGACAGCGGAAGCTCCAGAGACAGGTAACTGATCATTATCACTACCCACTTCTCTACTTGATTGATGCCTTATCCAATAGATTTTGTGTCAAAGTTGTGTTATTATTATTTGACAATCTAAATACAACAACAAAATACATTTAGAGCGCGTTTCACGTTGGGAGAACGGCCCAAAGCTGAACAGTCAGGTGTTGCGGCCCGGGTATGGGGGAGGGGTGGTGTAGGGGTGAAGGAAGGCAGAGAGGTAGGAGGGCGACTGAATCATAGAATCATAGAATCATAGAATGTTACGGCACAGAAGAAGGCCATTCGGCCCATCGAGTCTGTGCGGCTCTTTGACAGAGCAACTGACTTTTATTAACCCCACTCACCAGCTTTCCCCCCATAACTCTGCAAACCCGTCTTCTCCAGATACCTATCCAGTTCTCTCTTAAAAGCTGTTATCCAATCGGACTTCACTACCCTTTCGGGCAGATCATTCCAAATTCCAATAACTCGCTGAGTGAAAACATTTCTTCTAACCTCTCCTCTGCTTCTTATTGTAGATATCTTAAGACTGAAGGCACGATCGAAGAGAAGAGTCTTGAGACCAGCCTTGAAGGAGGCAATGGAGGAAGCGAGACGAAGGGATCGTGGGATGGAGTTCCAGAGTGTGAGGTGCTGGCCCGAGACACCCGCCCCACCTCAGGGTCCACGAAACCCCGGCCCAGCCTGCAGCTGCCGGTCCCTGCCTCTGGCTACAACAATAACAACAACAACAACAAGATTCCATTTATAGAGCGCCTTTCACGTCAGGAGGACGTCCCAAGGCCCTGTACAGTTGGGTCAGGACCCGAGCATTGGGGGGGAAGTGGTCAGGGTGAGGGGAGGGAAGGGAGGGAGCGAGAAGAGGGTAGAGAGTCGAGAGGGGAGCCAAAGGCTCGGTGAAAGAGAAAGGCTTGAGACCGGCCTTGAAGGAGAAAAGGGAGGAGGCGGCGAAGGCACTGGGGGATAGAGTTCCAGAGCCTATGGGCTGAGAGGCTGAAGGCCCGGCCACCGATGGTAGGGCGGTTGGGGCTGGGGACGTGGAGCAGACCGGAGCCGGAGGAACGGAGGGTACGGGCGGGTAGGTAGGGGGATAGTAGGTCGGAGAGGTAGGAGGGAGCGAGGCCGTGAATGGCCTTGTAGGTGAGGATGAGGATCTTGAATTCGATCCTCTGGGGGATGGGGAGCCAGTGGAGGTGAGCGAGGGTGGGAGTGATGTGGTCGCGGTGTCCGGTGCGGGACAGTATACGAGCTGCAGAGTTCTGAATGACCTGCAGTGTGGAGGGAGGGCCGGGAAGGCCGGCGAGGAGAGAGTTCCCATAGTCCAGCCTTGAGGTGATAAAGGCGTGGACCAGAGTTTCAGCCGCGTGAGGGGTGAGGTAGTGCCATAGTCTGGCGATGTTTTGGAGGTGATGGAAGGCGGTGCCAGTTGTGGTGCGGATATGAGGGAGAAAGGACAGCTCAGGGTCGAACAGAACACCGAGGTTCCTGACTGCTTTGAGAGGTGGAGAGTACAGTTAACGTCGGCCTGGATCCCCGGGAGACCAGCCCTATGACGCCCTGCCACTGCCTGACTTACCTTCCGTGAGTCCCACTCGGTTTACTTGGGTTTACGATGCCCTCCCACGAGTTGGCTCCCGACTGACCCTCCCGCTCACTGGCTCCCGACTGTCCCTCCCGCTCACTGGCTCCCGACTGTCCCTCCCGCTCGCTGGCTCCCGACTGTCCCTCCCGCTCGCTGGCTCCCGACTGTCCCTCCCTCTGGCTGTCTCCCGACTGTCCCTCCCGCTCGCTGGCTCCCGACTGTCCCTCCCGCTCGCTGTCTCCCGACTGTCCCTCCCGCTCGCTGTCTCCCAACTGTCCCTCCCGCTCGCTGGCTCCCAACTGTCCCTCTCGCTCGCTGGCTCCCGACTGTCCCTCCCGCTCGCTGTCTCCCAACTGTCCCTCCCACTCGCTGGCTCCCAACTGCCCCTCCCGCTCGCTGGCTCCCAACTGTCCCTCACGCTCGCTGAGACAGTCAAGAGCCAGTGAGTGACAGGGACATAAAATTATTTTAGACATTTGATTTATTATCCGTCCCAAATAAACCATTCAGAAGGAGGTGCTGAGGGAGGATCATCATTTTTATTACAAAAAATAATTTAGCGTCTTATTGTGTGTCCCTCCAAGTCCTGGTGCTGAGCCAGGCTGGGCTGGGCTGGGCTGCCATCAGCAATGCCCTGGAATACTGCGCACCCGTCTGGCTCAGGAACCGGAGTCTCTCCCGTTGGCCTGGGCAACACTCCCCAAATAAAACTAACCAGTCACTCCATGGCTACTTGTAGTTACGTGGAAATTAGCTGCCGCGATGCCCCAAATAAAATGATATCTGACAATGTGATCAGCTTCTACATGAAGTAGAAGAATTATTAATATTATTAATAAATGTAAAGAATGGTTTTGCTTTCCTAAACCCATCCTGTTAAACAGAGGAGATTCAGCCAATGCTTTCAAATTCAGTAACAAGGCCAGACACACACACTTACCCTGCTTCTCACAGCGGCTTCAGAATGGAATAAGACAACAGCAACAACAAGATTCCTTTTATAGAGCGCCTTTCACGTCAGGAGGACGTCCCAAGGCGCTGGACAGTTGGGTCAGGACCCGAGCAGGTGGGAAATGGTCAGGGTGAGGGGAGGGAAGGGAGGGAGCGAGGAGGGGGTAGAGAGTCGAGAGGGGAGCTGAAGGTTCGGTCAAAGAGAAAGGTCTTGAGACCGGCCTTGAAGGAGGAAAGGGAGGAAGTGGCGAAGGCACTGGGGGATAGAGTTCCAGAGCCTCGGGGCTGAGAGGCTGAAGGCCCGGCCACCGATGGTAGTGCGGTTGGGGCGGGGGATGTGGAGCAGACCGGAGCCAGAGGAACGGAGGGTACGGGCAGGTAGGTAGGGGGATAGTAGGTCAGAGAGGTAGGAGGGAGCGAGGCCGTGAATGGCCTTGTAGGTGAGGATGAGGATCTTTAATTCGATCCTCTGGGGGATGGGGAGCCAGTGGAGGCGAGCGAGGGTGAGGGCGAAGGTGAGGGCGAGGGTGGGAGTGATGTGGTCGCGGTGTCCGGTGCGGGACAATACATGAGCTGCAGAGTTCTGAATGACCTGCAGTGTGGAGGGAGGGCCGGGAAGGCCGCGAGGAGAGAGTTCCCATAGTCCAGCCTTGAGGTGATAAAGGCGTGAACCAGAGTTTCAGCAGCGTGAGGGGTGAGGTAGTGCCATAGTCTGGCGATGTTCCGGAGGTGATGGAAGGCGGTGCCAGTTGTGGTGCGGATAAGAGGAAGGAAGGACAGCTCAGGGTCGAACAGAACCCCGAGGTTCCTGACCGGCTTTGAGAGGTGGAGAGTGCGGCCTTGGATGCTGATGCTGTCAGCGCCTGAGGTGCGGAGGCGCTGACGTGAGCCAATCAGGAGGACCTCAGTTTTACGCACGTTGAGCTGAAGAAAGTTGTCTCTTGTCCAGGACTTGATGTCGGACAGGCAGCTGTCAGGACATCGGTGGTCGTGGAGTTGAGGGTAGAGGAGGAAAGGTAGAGTTGGGTGTCATCCCCATACATGTGGAAGTTAACCACATGTCTGCGGATGATATCACCACAGGGGGAGCATATAGAGGGTGAAGAGGAGGGGACCGAGGACAGAGCCCTTAGGGACACCACACAAGACAGTGCGGGGGCCGGAGGAAAAAACATTCGTGGAAACAAAGAAGACGGTGGGAGAGGTACGACCTAAACCACTCAAGGACAGGGCCTTGAAGGTTGAGGTGGGAGGACAAGCGGTGGAGGAGGATAGTGTTAAACCCAAATTGTGATGTGCGATTGCTCTTAAAGACCTGAAAACTCAACACGGAGTCAGTGCGGTATACATCCAAAAAAAGCTTTATTTCATATATATGAGGTGCAGAGCGGTAGCAACAACTCTCTCAAGATACTGCTCCCCACACTGCACACCAGAGGAAAACAACATCTGACTTTTATACATGTTCCATTTTCCCATAAATGGATGTCTGTTTCTTTCATAAAAAGAGATATGGGTCCCGGGTTCCTTAGCACAATGACATATACATTGATAGTTGCAAACCAAAACAAAGCTGAGCTTACACCAAATGCGAAAACATGTTTTGTCTCATTGCCTTTGTTTATTCTGTAACTTTTGCGATTGCCCAAAGATGAACAACATTCCCACACTTTCCACACTCCTCCCTTTTATCCCTGGGATAACTCACCATCCCTCAGTAACAGGGCACCAGGTAGGATCCCTAGGATGAACTATTGATTTCTAAGAAGGAATCCGGGAAAGTAGCATGAAAACTTTCCATCTCATAACTTAGCTCATCACATGAGGGGGTGGGAGTGAGGTGGTAGTTAACTCGGACTGAATGCATAGTCATCATTGATTTTGCAGTCTATC